AAAAAAAAAAAAAAAAAAAAAAAAAAAAAAAAAAAAAAACAGAAGCTGAATGGAAGAGATCAAAGTCTGTCATATCAGCTTCACTCTCTGTGACTCAGCCAACCAACACAGTGAGACGCAGTGAAGACATCCTTCTAGACTCTGAAAAAAATGTCATAGAAAGGCTGCCATTATAGGGGCTGCCATCTATTTCTGGAGGCTTAAGTCACCCTCCAATAATAGTTCTCTTCTGATCCATTTCCAAAGAGGTTTATAACTTGCTTAGTGGTCGTGTGACACATTAATGCTTTATTTGTGGTTGCGGTCAAAAGTTTCTTTTTGACTGGAAAAGGCTGTCATCGCTGTCAGTCAATTGAAGCAGACAAGACAGGAGGAGAGTGCAGTTGTCTGCTCTAATGAACGACAACTTATTAGCTATAGAGCATTTCTATTACTGTCCCAGTTGCCTCCTCTCTTTCATTAACTGCTTATGACACCCGTTAGTGTCATCTTTAATACTTCACATTTTGATTAGCATATGATCCATGGGGAATGAAGGGAGACAAAAAATCGTTTTATTAGTGTCAATTACTGTTACAAATGACATTTTTTACTGCCTAAATTGTGATTTTACRTTTCCCCCTGTCAAAGAACAATGGCTGTGTAATTACAATAATGAGGAGCTCAATAGAAAAAAATTAATTATTCACAATCTTATTTTCTTTCTTGTTCCTTTGAACTCCATCTCGCCTATTCACTTGGCATCAATCTGACTTCATTAATGAATGAATGGAAAACATGGATTCTGCATGTTTTATAAGTGTTCGACTTCCAAGAGTTCCTGATTGAAAGTGAAAAAGAAATTTTCATTTCACCTGTTCAGAGTCCAGGCGCTTCAGTGCACTTGAAATATGCCGTGCAGTTTTTTGACTTCGTCTATAGGTGCCACTGTTGCCACGTGTGCTGCGAGTAGGATCATGTGATGTGTGAGCAGCACAGATGTGATATAAGAAAGTGTGGGCGATGAAACATTCTTCCTGACAGTTATTGACTATGCTGCCCATGGATGGTGCTACTCATACGGGTTACAGTTACAGTTCCTACATACATTATTAGCTTTTATAGGAGGTGTGATACATGAGGGAGAAAGAGAGATTAGAGATGAGAAAGGAAGGGCAGCAGAGACTTCAGGGGGCACGTTGCCAATTTGTTGTGACAAAGCTTTACTGYAATATTGGTTGGCCACAGCCAGTGGCAGCCCCTTGTGTTTCAATTATCACCTCTCTGAGGTGGACCACCAACTGAGCTCTTCCCAGGCATCAATGGCTGCTTTTCTCTGTGTCCTAAATACCACTGGTGCAGCACATCAGTGAGCTACTCTTTGTTGTACACAAAACGCTGAGGCCCACAAAGTGTATCAGCATGTGACGGCTGCACTGTGATGCATCTCATGCAAATAAAGAGATATCTAAAGGAAAGCTAATTTAGGCCCCTTTTTTGTTTCTATTTCTTATTAGAAAATAACTGTGATTATAACACTGCAGCTTCTGATTATAAAGCAATTAATTAACAGAAAGGTGATTTTATATTGCTTTTTTTCTCAGCCTTGTCAGTGTAGCCACTTTGCTGCTTTGGTTTTTGTCACCTGTTTTATTTCTGTCATTCCTATATGCTGTTTTCAGACAAATAACTGTAAAACCTTAACAGTTTTGCAGAACCTCTTCTCCCTCAGAAAGAAGAGAAGACAAAAGCTTCAACTAGACAATGCATTGAGTCATTTAGCTGCCGAACAGAAAAAAAAGTATCATCCAGAAGTGACATGAAAAAAAATAAATTATTTATAAATAAATAAATAATTTATTTATTTTTGCCAGGGGGAAAGTCACGCAATATAAAATGAATTTCCCTGTTTCCTCAGAAATTTTACTATTCCATTTTGCCTATATGTCACTTGAATATGTGCAGCTTGTAGCTTTGACAAAAATAAAACTTGGGACCGTGGTCTAAACTCATTTATATCTAGAAGCAATTTCCTCTGCAATATATTTTTGACCCTCTATACTTTAAGGAGAGAGAGAGAGAGAGAGAGAGAGAGAGAGAGAGAGAGAGAGAGAGA